AATGGTAAGGGATGGGTGGGAGGGGTAGGACGTCATATATGACGCGAGCGCACCTAGCTTGCCCCCCCTCCCCTCCCTCCCCTCCACAATTACTCAATATGAATACTACTCTCCCTCTTCCCCCGATGGCGGCCTGAAAGTAGCCGACCCCCCCCCCCCCCCGCGTACTGTGTTTTTACACACAGGATTCCCGGGAGTTGGGTTTTCGCCTGCGTTTTTTTTCAAAATGCTGCTCTCGCTGAGGCGCCGGCCTCATTTCTGCTCCCGACTCGTTCCGAATCGTGCTCCCGCTGCAGCGTGGGCCTCATTTTCGGATCGGTGTTTGGCCTCCGTCGTTCAGGATGGCGTTCTCGCCCCAGCGCGGGCCTCTTTCCTCGCGCGCCCATCCGCCCGCCACCACCGCGCCGCACCGCACCACCACAACCACCACCACCAGCACCAGCACCACCACCAGCACCACCAGCACCAGCACCAGCACCAGCACCACCACCACCACCACCACAACCACGCACACACGCACGCACGCACGCACGCACGTGCACCACCACCCACTACGCACGCGCGCGCGGAGCCACAGGTCCGCTACGACACGCGTCCGCGGATAGAGAAAATCAGCGCCATGGTAAGGGATGGGAGGGAGGGTAGGACGTCAGATATGACGCGAGCGCACCTAGCTTGCCCCCTCCCCCCTTCCCCTCCTCCCCTCATCTCCTCCTCCCCGCCCCTCCCCGCCCTCCCCTCCACCTCCTCCGCGCCCCGCCCCTCTTCTCCCTCCCCTCCCCCCTCCCTCCCCTCCCCCCCCTCCCTCCTCCCGCCCCTCCTCCCCGCCCTCCCCTCCCCCTCCTCCCCGCCCATCTTCTCCGCCTCCCCTCCTCTCCGCCCCTCCCTCCCCTCCTCCCCGCCCCCCTTTCAGCTTCAACTCCTGCCCGTCTTAGCAGCAGACGATGTCGGACGATCGCACAGCTGCCCAGGTGCCAGAGGCACGAGCCCACATTTCCCCTCGAGTTCTAGATTGGCAAGGCCTCTTGGCCGATCGGGAGTAGCGCAGCGCAGCCGAGGAGGTCTGGGGCCGCGGTGGCGGCCTGTCTTCCCACCCCACCACCGTAGGGTCAAGTCGGGCATGCTCCTCTACAGGGGGGAAAATTCAATATTGGTACCAAAAGTAGTCGGGTGATGAAATTGCGAATATGTTTAGACTGATGTCTGGGGTTATCTTCTGCGTTTCTTCCAAAATCCGCATGTCGGAGGACTTGCCCGACCTGGTCATAGGGGGGGGCGGAGTCCCTGAAGACGAGGCGGGGTGGGCCCGAGTGGGCATCACAGCGGGCTCAAGATCAACAGAGGCATCCTAGCCTCATCATGCCTCATCATGCACTGCTCTCCTTGGCATTTCTTCTTTCAGGGGAGGAAAAAACCACCCCGACCCCGACAATTGGCGTTTGCTAAATGGCCCTGGGCGTTTATTACACGGCCCTGCCCTGATCGGTTCTTTCCTTGGATGCGTTTGCTAAACGGCTTCGCTTGTCGGGGTGCTTTTTATGGGGGTGGAATTTCTGCTCTCTATTCTTCGTGCGCAGCAGCATACTCTCCCCTCAGGCCATGACAGCCTCATGGCGGGAGCTTTCCGATCGTGTTCGGCCTCCGAAGGGCCCTCAGCGGGCCCCGGGCCTGCCAGAAGACTGCTTGGGATGACAAAGGGCCGGCCTGGGGCATCGGTCAGGACGTCGGGAGTCTGGGGCGGACGGCGGCGGACGGCGACGGACGATCGAGGATCGAGGATCGGAGGATCGAGGATCGGAGGATCGGAGGATCGAGGATCGGAGGATCGAGGATCGCTCGGGGGTCGAGACCTCGGGGGGCCGACGGCGTGAGCAAGACGTGGCGTCGGGGGTCTGGGCCCGTCGCCCGAGGTGGGGGGGGGGGAAGAAGGGGCGCGGCCGGGCCGAGGCGGAGAGGCCGAGGTCGGCCGTGGGCGGGTGCCCTGGTGTCCTCGGTGTGTGCTGGATGCTCTCCTGGGGGGACAAAAAGTGGCATAAACACAAAAACACTCGGAGGTCCGCGCGGAGTTCTCCGATCGGCGCCGGGGCCCCCCTCTTCGGCGCCAGGGGCGCCGCCCCCCTGGCGCGCTCCGCGCGCCAGGGGCGCGGGGGTCCAGCGCCGATCCGAGAAGTCCGCGCGGACCTCTGGGGTTTTTATGCTTATGCCACTCGTTGCTCCCCTGCCTCCGGCGGCGAGCGAGGGGGGGGGGAGCGAGGAGGAGAAGGCCCTCTCAGAAGAGGCCCGGATGCCCCCCCGGCCTTCGGAGGAGGGGCTCGAGGCCTCCCCGAAGGCACAGGACACGTGTCACAGAAGGCGCGAGGGCCTCGGAGAAGTCCCGCCGCCTTCTGAGAAGGCCTTCTCCTTGGCAATTCTCCCCCCCCTCGCTCGCCGCCAAGTTCTTGTGCGTCATGGGGGGTACCCTCGGATGTACTGTGTGTTTTGGCCGGCGGAGGGTCTCATGTTCTTGAGGGATGTTCTTCTGTCCTGGGTGCGGCCGTACCGATGCCAGTGCCCTTCCCTCGTCTTCGATTTTCTATGCTTCCTGGGAGGCCCCCGTCTGCACGCTGGATTCGCCTCGAATTTTTCCTCAGAACGCACCCCTGGGTAGGCCCAGGGAGTAGCGGTGTCAGATCAACGCCGATCAAATTGTTCGACGTGGATACCCCTTAGTTGCATGTCAGTTCTTGGCGCTCCCGTCAGAGAGCGTCGGCGTGCGAGACCATTAGCCCGCGTCGGTACCTTTCTGTCCCCCCAGTCGTCGTTGTCGTCGTCGTTCGCCGCCGCCGTCATCGTCGTTGTCTGCGCCGCCGTCGCCGCCGCCGCCGTCATCGAGGCAGTTTCCGCCGCCTTCGTCGTCGTCGTCTTCGTGGTCGTCGTCATCGGTCGTCTGTCGTTGTCGTCACGGTCGTTCCCGTTCTCGTTGGTCGTCGTCGTCGTCGAGTGGGAGAAGGAAAGGAGCAGCAGTTGGAGCAGCAGTGGAAGATGAGGTGCATGAGAAGCAGGAGCATAATCATGCGCAGGCAGAGGAGGCGCAGCTCGAACATGAGACCAGCTGCACCAGCCCAGGCGTCATATGGAGCATGTTTTCCCGCTGAGTGGGCCCTGGAGATGCCGACCACTGGTTCCCGCAGCGGGCCGTTTCTCCGTAGGACGATCTTGCGAAGAAGTGGTCGTCGCGACGACTGGACCAGGGGCTTCGTTAGGGGAGGGGTGAGCTCGGGTGGGTGGGGGGGCATCGACCCCATTCGCTGATGGATCGCCGATGGGACCCGATAGCCCACCCCGCCCAGGAACGAGCGGTTTCTTGATCGGGAACCTGCCGCAGATCTATCGGTGATGTATCGCCGATGCCAGCTCGGCGTTCCACCTCACCCACGGAGGGCGATGCTCCACCCCGGACCCCCAAACGTTCCACCTCACCCACGGAGGGCGATGTTGCGCTCAAGTGCCCGCCGTAATTCTGGCTCGCGGCGCATGGAGGTCTGAGAGGGGTCAAGAGTCAGGAGGGAAAGAGAAACACAGACACAAATGATCGCCGATCCCCGGGGAAAGAGGGGAAAATATGGGAAGTGGGGGGGAAAACGAACGTCCAGAAAATGTATGGGGAAATATGGGGAATCCTGGGATCTGTGCCCACTTGTTTGCGTGTCCCTGGGACCCCCTCAAAGAGACATTCCCCCACACCCTCAGATAGGATTCTTCCCATCCGCGGCCTCGGAGGCCCCGACGCCTTCCCCGCGGGGGCCTCGATCCGTCCCGTACCCATGTGTTCATGGCCCCCGGCTCCGGCAACGGGCCCGGAGGCCGAGTCGGTGAAACAGAAAGAACGTATCTAAAAAGTCAGATCCTCGGAGATCCGGGCTCCTGGAGGAGGAGGAGGAGGAGGAGGAGGAGGAGGAGGAGGAAGAGGAGGAGGAGGAGGAGGGGGGAGTGGAGGAGGAGGAGGAGGAGGAGGAGGAGGGAGAGGAGGAGGAGGAGGAGGAGGGGAGGAGGGGGAGGAGGAGGAGGAGGAGGAGGGGGAGGAGGAGGAGGAGGAGGAGGAGGAGGAGGAGGAGGAAGACGACGAGGGATGCTTGATCCCGACCTTAGCTGTCTCGATGCGCCCGTTTTGAGACGCAACCCGGACCGTGCTTAACACGTCCGTGCCAATACGTTGCGCGCTGGCTCAGCGTAATGGCCCACTTTTGGGCGAACGTATCGCGTCAGACACACGTGTTCAGCCGACGCGTTGAGCTCCGTATCAATGCGCTACGTGTTGCGTACTGCGTGTCGTGGCAGCTAAGATCCTCGGAAATCTGGGCTCCCCGTTGCTCGGTCCCGGCGTGCGCGAGAGGCCTCCCTGGGCTGGCAGCGCCGCCGCTCGCAAAGTCCGACGCGGGCGCGCCCAGAGCTCCACCTGCCCGGCAGTGCCGCTGCGCCGTGGGCCCCGGCGATGCCGCCGCCGAGATCCAATGGACCGCGAGGGGTCTCGCAAGGATGCAGGCAGTGGTGAAGCGTCTTGGCCTGCCTATTGGCCCACCAAAGGATGTTCTAGGAACCTTTTGTTGTTGGCAGGAAGTGTTCTTAGAATATTTCGGGCTGAGACTGCCTTGCTCTAGTACGCGGGTGTTCCAAGAGCATTGTCTTGGTTGTTCGCACATGTTCGGTTCCTAAGAACATTGTCGTGGTAGACCTATAGGAATGTCAGAATAAGTTCTAGGCATCCCAGATGGGGACGGAGTAGGCGGGGTCGGAGGATGGCGCCGCGTCGACGATGCGGCTCGGGGCGGTTTCTCCACGCCGATGTCGCCGACACGTCGCAGACGTCGGCGATGCATCGCATCGCCGATTCGTTGGCGATGCGGCGCGATCCTCAGGAGGCCTCTACAAGTGCACGATCCGAGGGATGTCCCCAGAGATCCGACGGCCCGAAAAAGTTGGAGCGCTTTTTTTGCTGCCCTGTTCGGCCTCCGAGGGCCCTCGCCGGGCCTCGGGACCGTAAAACAATGTTATGGGACGGAAAGTCGGCCCTTGGGAAGTGGTCCAGACCTCCGGGGCCCACGCATCGGAACAATTGGAGCGGCCGGATATTTGGGATACGGAGGAGGGGGAGGAGGAGGAGGAGGAGGAGGAGGAGGAGGAGGAAGAAGAGGATGAGGAAGCGAAGCGAAGCGAAGCGAAGCGAATCGCGCGGTGTCGTTCCGGCGGGACAAGCCCTGGCAGGGCGGCGCGGGAGGGCTGGAGCCCTGAGGAGTCGTCCTGGGCGGCTGGTGGTGTGGAAAGTCGGCTTCTAGGCTGGGTGTCGGTCTTCTGATCCGGTCTAGTCTGAGGCTTGTTGGGTACGGGTGCGGGGGTCACGCAAGGATCAGTGCATGATTAGTGGAATCTCTGTGTGCGACTATACGTCTTGCTACTATTCGGGAAACGTGCTGGGACCCGCCTACGCTTTTTGTGACGAGCCCGCCCTAGATTTTGACAGTCCAGTGTTCGTGGGACGTCTGGAGCGGGAGCTCCCGTCAAATTTCAGAGCGGGTCTCGCCATTTTCCTGGAGGCCCCGTCAGGCTAACCCGAGTCCTCCGAACCCGGGCCTCACGCCTCCCCGATACCCACATGCACGTGCCACGGCGGGACGTCTATGCCCTGTTTCGTGCCCCCGGCCCTCGCAGATCGATCTCAGATCTATGGCAGATCGCGGATCGCGTGCGTAGACGGGGATGGGGGTTGCGGTGGCATTGCTCGCCACGTCGCGCCTCTGTTTCAGGACGTCGGATGCGGGGGGGGGGAGAAGCTGAGATGGGTGGAGGAGTCCAGAGGAGGAGAAGGAGCAGGACCAGTTCAAATCCAAGACGCGGCAACGATGTTGCAGTGCACCTTCCCGTGCCAAAAAAAATGTCATAGTTCCCTAAAGTTTACTTGCGGGAATTGCCTGGAAGACACCCGCTGAGAATCCCAAATCAGTCCAAGAGAGAGTTTTTGCAATCCTGGGCGATGATCGGCGTTACTGGTGGGGGGTGGGAGTGGTTGGTAACCACACGTTTCGCGCCGGCGCCGTCTTGGAATTCTTGGGAAGAGCCAACGGCAGCTTGGTTAGCAGATACCTATAGGGATCTGCTACGGCAGAGCGCGCGTGCCTGAAGGGAGTTGCTACGGACGAGCGCCTCCTTTCTCCTTTTCCTTCTCTTCCTCCTCCTCCTTCTCCTACTCCTCTTCCTCCTCCTCGCTCCTCCCTCATCCCTCCTCGTTCTCCATCCCCCCGTCGTCGTCGTGATCCCGCGTCGGCGGGAAATTGAGCCCAACAAGCGGAGCATGCTTTGAATTTGCTTCTGATTAGGAGACTGTGTGCATCTGACGTGGACGGCCTGGGCGAGGGCTGGCCGCATGTCTTTTTCAGGGTGCGGCCCTCGCGTGGCTAAGTACGCCAGCCATCCGCACGTGTATCCAGTAAATCGGGGGAAAACAAACCTCCCTCGCTTTTGACCACCCTCGCTTCCAAGAGATACCAAACGGTGCCAAATTGCGGCCTGTACTGGTCAGGGCGCTTGACGAGGAGGCGCGTGGTATGGCTTGGTTTTGCCTGGAAGCGAAAGCGGGGGAGGTAATTCACGCTCTGAGTAAATGGCTTCCGCGCGTCCCGCATGTGCAGCCATCCTCGTGTCTTTCCATCCTTCTGGATCGCTTAGGACGCCCAGCTTGATATTCTCGATCGCAGTCCCATCATGGAGTGCGCTGCAGTGAGCTGCTGGTGGGGGCGAGCTGGAAGCGGCCCGCGTGTATCTCATGGGCTTACGCCGTTTCGCACCTCCCAGTGCGTCCCAGCGATGTAGCGCGCAATCTGTTGTGCAGCGAGGCACATTGCAATGCAAGTCTGCGGAACAGGACGACAAGAGGAGAAGTATGATCGGAAAGTGGAGCATTACATTACCAGTTGCGGGCTGTGCTTCAATCCCACGGTTTTGTGTGGTGTGGTGTATACTTTCCCCCCCCCCCACTTTCCCAGTGAAGCAGCGACAACTGTATACATCAGGATCCCGTGTACACCAGGATTCGTTTCCCTGTGCAGATTGCAGCGCAGGGCCGGAAAATGCCTCGGTGCATAGAGTTCGGATCCTTAGAAGAGGGCGACGAGGCCACTTTCCCCCTCGGGCGCATGGGTGCCCATGCCAAACCAAGGCACAAACCGATCACATAAGTATTATCAAGCAGGTGGTTTCGGCATTGCCCTGCCTGTCTCGCCCCCTCCCTCCTTTCGGTTCCCTCCTTCTTGCTGAAGTCTCTGTATGAAGCACCGTGCAGTGCAGTGAGGAGGGCGAGGACGACGAGCGGAGGAGGAAGAGGGAGAGGAGGAGGCGGAGGATAGTGCAAGCCGATTAGCCATCAGTGGCCATCCACCGCAGGTCCTTGCGTATCCATCGATCGCATGGTGGCGCACGCTCTGCCATAGCAGATCCCCATCGATATCAGTTGTTCTTTGATATCGGATGGCTTGCTTGGATATCGGATGGCCGTCGGCCCATGCCGCCGCCGTGCCTGGGTTGTGGTTCAGAGTTCTGAGGGGTGCTTCTTCGGATCTCTTTGGAGCGCTCTCGGGGGCCTGCTTGGAGCAGTTTGAGGGCCCCTTGAGGGCCTCTTAGGGGCCTCTCGAAGGCCTCTTGGGGCCTCCTGGGGGCCCGTCGGGGCCGAGGGCTCGAAATGTCCGTTCGGGTTCCCCATCTGGGCCCCCTCTTGGAGCCGTCTTTGGGCCCTCTTGGGCCGTCTTGGGCACCTCTTGTGTCGTCTTGGGGCCCTCTTGGTGGCCTCTGGGGCCGTGTTGGGGCGATCTTGGGGGCCTCGTGGGCCGTCGTGGAGCGTCGGGAAGCCGAAAAGGCGAGAAAGCCAAAAACTTTCAAACACATGCGGGCAGTCAATTACGTGTGCCTCTCGGGAGGCTTCTTGGGGCGTCTTGGAGGCCCCTGGGGCCGTCTTAGGGCCATCTTGAGCGTCCTGAACTGATCGTTCGGCGGCTCGGGGCCCTCTCGGACCGTCTTCGGGGCCTCTTGGGGCCCTCGTGGCCCGTCTTGAGGCCTTCCTGGGCCTGGGCAGCCCACGCGCCACCTCGCGGGGGAGCTCAGAGGGCACGCGGCAGGCCCCCAGGAGAGCTCGGACTCCGGGGGGCACGCCCAGTCCGTGCCCAGCAGCACGGCGGCGGATTCCTGGGCATCCCCAGGCGGCGCCAGCAGGAGTCGTGGCGCTGCCAGCGGGGGAGGGGTGGCCTCCTCCTCCTCCTCCTCCTCCTCCTCCTCCTCCTCCTCCTCCTCCTCCTCCTCCGCGAAAAACAGAAAACGCTTGCCATAATGTCGTCATTCGGCGTCGTTCGGAGTCAAGCCTTACGAGTCAATGCAACAGTTGCGTCCTGACAGCCCTGAATCGGTCCAGAACTTCACCCCTGGAACAAGCCCCGCAAGTCCCTGTGACTGCTGCGTCCTGGCAACACAAAGCCGCTCCATAACGAACCCACCGCCTGGGATTTCTATTTCACGAATTCTTGCGAATGTTGGAACACTTTTTTTAGCAGGTGACCGCCGCGCTGAGGCCAACGCCCAATTGTCACAACGGGCCGACCTCTATTCGTGCAATTGTTGGATGCGTGTGTGAATGTGCGGCGCTCACGCGATAGGCCCATTATGAAGATTGTTGGACTTTTTAAGACGGGTTTTCGTGGCGCCAAGGCGGCCGTGATTTGACAGTGTTCCGTCCGTTCAGTTCCTGTTTAAGACGAGTGTGCGCGATGCCGAGGTGAGACCACACTTTGGAAAACCATCCGCCTAAATGTCTGGAGTGTCAAGCGATGGGGGCAAATGGGGTGGAGTGAGCATCCAGGTTCAAAGGATCAGGATCATCAGCGGTGGGGAGCATAAGCGGTGCTTACCTTTCAAGGTTCAAAAGCGTAAGCGTTGAGGAAATCTCAGGCGAAATGCCCCGCCGTCCCGCCCTGACAGCTAGCCGCTGGATTCGACAGGGGGGCGAAGGTGCGAGAGAGGAGCTTGTCATCAGGAACAGGGATCGAGGAGGAGGGGGGGAGGAGGGAGGGAGGAGAAAGAAGAGGAGGAGGACCCGAGACCCGAGCCTTGCCCAGCAGTCCTCCACACCTGGGCTGGCCCGCTTGTCTGTGTGCCCCGTTCCAGCCCCCAGCCCGTTTCTCCCCTCTCTTGGCGCGCCGTCGACGGCAACACCACTTCGCTCTCCCTCCGGGACTTCGCCTCCGGCTCTTGTCCATGGCGTACCTTTTCCTGTGCAAGCTCTTCGGCACCGCCTGCACCCCGCGCCCTCCGGCCGCCTGAGGCCCCGCCCTCCCGCGCCCTGTCTCCCCAATTCGTGCGTCGCGCGCCCCGCCTAGCTCTTAACCGGAAGGGGCCCGCTCTCGACCCGCCGACCAGAAAATTGTTTCTCCCCTCTGGCCCAGGCCCCTCGCGTCGTGACAAAGGCGCACCCGAAGGTACCTGGCCATTCGCGGCCTCTGGGGGCTTTCACTGGGCCCGGGGACAGTCGAAAAACCATGCGGGATGAGAATCCCGTCCCCAGGGGTGTTCGGTGTGAGGAGGTCACGGCGTCGGGGGTTTGGGTGTCGGCAACACCGAGACACCCTAATGTTGCCACGTGCTCGACGCCTCGCGGGAGCGACGCGCGCGGCGCTGAACCATGCTACAGTGAAAGCTGCTTCGCGGGCGCAGTCAGGCCATACTGCTCGGATCACAATATGGTGAATGATATTTGTGCTATGTGTCTTGGTCGGACTTACGTCGTCACGGGAGCGCATCGTGCTGGTACGTTCTTCTGTGTCCCACAAGTTTCTCTGCTCTTTGGTAAATTGTAGGGATGACCAGATAACCGAGGGCGATGCGACCTACATGCGCTAAGCCTTCCCTTGCATGCACGCGACTTGATAGTTCCCCTTCGTTCTCTGAGTTGGTCCTCCTCTCTCCGTTCGGGGCGGAAGCCCAGCCCATCATATTCGCATCTCCACGTGGGCGGCGCTGCCAGACTGTCATCCATTTCCTTTGTCTTCTTCCCGAGGGCCAGGACCAGAGAGGGCGGCTTGGGTGGCAGGCGAGGTGGGCATGAGGAGGAGAATGTCCTTGTGCGGTGGAGCTGTCAGGGGAGGTTCCCCGTTCCACATCTGACGTCAGCGATTGGACCTTCAGAGCTGCCGTGGAGAATTGCGCACGTTACAGATGTGTTCTGCTGACGCGCCCTTGATCGCGCACGTTAGATATAGAGCCTTGATAGGGCATCCGCGCTGCTTGCTGCAGGGCGGGGGCGCAAGCAAAAGGTGCAAGCGAGCGCGCCGGTTGTCGCTGTCGCGCGCGCTGGCCAAGGGGTCGGGGAACCGAAACAGTGTCGATGTTAGCGTGCTACCGTTCAAGAAGCACCAGGCACCAGCGAAGGAGTAATGCGCCGACGGGCTGCCGACGGCAGCATGTCGTCGATACACGCTCTCCCTCCCAAGAGGGGGCTCCTCCGCAGCGATGCGTTCGAAACGTGTCGAGCCAGTGCCACGCCCAGCTCGGAGGCAGAACCACTGGGACAGTTCGAGTTGGCGGCGTTCGCCGTGCCGCGGTGCTGGGTCCGCCCATGCCGCGTTCGGGGCCCCTCCGAGCTGCCGCTCTCGAGGCGCCTCCCTCGCCTCCTTCGAGGCACCCTCCTCGGGGGGGCCAGAGGGCGTGCCTCCTGGGGCGCCCTTGAGGTTCACTCGGGGGCCTTTGGGGCGCCCTGAAGCCCTCGCGGGCCAGCTTTGGGCCGTCTGAGCCTCGAAGCCTCGGAGGCCACCAGCAGCAAACGTACGAGGAGGCAACAGCAAGAATGGGACATCAGATGCTGCTTGACTCTTTCGCCTCCCGGGGCGTCTTATGAGGGCTCTGGGGGCACCTCTGGCTGCCTTGTGGCTGTCAGGGGGCTTGTTGGGGGTATGGAGGAGACCATCTTGAAGCAAGCTGGGCCATCCTGCGCGATCTTCGGTGCCATCTTGAAGCCATCCTGGGCCCAAACGGACCCTCCGACACCTCGGGCCCCCACCCGTCCAGATTCTGGGGAGGGGGCGGGCAAAAAGGAGCAAGCCACTCCCTCAAGGGACAGAGTGTGCAGTTTTACCAGGGCGGATACCCTAAACCTACGCCCAGAGGGCTGGTGGGATTACCGCCAGATGATTCGAACAATTGCAATAACTCGTGAGATACTCGGTTTCCTGCGCAGGCGGCTTAGGTGTTTGGTGAGCGCGCGATGCAGAGGGTAATTGCTTACTTGTACATGCTACCATGTGGGTTGTAACGTAGCTGTGCTTCCATCGTAGCGCGGGCGAGACAGAGAGAGAGATAGAGAGAGAGAGAGAGGTGATCGTTTTCTTATTCATTGTTTTGCCGATCGGCGCGGGCCTTGGTACCCCCCCTGCCCCCCCATGGAGTAGATCTTGGCTGTGTTGGGCGCCTGTTTCGAGCAGGTGGGGTCTCCCCCATAATGGACGCCCTGTTGCAAACAGTCGCACTGAGCAGAGCTCTGGAGCCAGCCCCCCCACCCCCTGTCCCTTTTCCGCCCAATGTCGAAACGCCGAAGAACAAGAGGCTCGCTAAGAACGAGCGACAGAGGGGGGAGAGAAGAGACGGCACGGCGGACGCATGCACGAGCTTGGTTGGTAGCATTCGACCGTGATCACCGAGCAGCTGGGCCAGGCGGTGGCAACGGTGCACGACTGCGCAGCGGTGCGACGTTGAGTCGTTCGCGTTCAGGGTGTGTCGTGCACCAGGAACAGCTGAACGACAGTTAGAGTCTGGAAGAACGTGAACATGGTCAGGACGAGGAAGAACAAATAGCCGCGAGAGAACTTCAGGACAAAGTCGCACCAAAGTTCGCGTTCGCTTGCTGTGATTCGGTCCTTCAACACAGAAGGTGGTCGTGTTGGCGCATGGGTGGTACTCGGGTCATGTCAGCAGCCGCAAGCTCGGATACGGCCGTTGCAGGACGCATTGTCGATGTCTCGGAGAGGGTGCAATTCGACGAATAGGGTGATTCGTAATGCAGAGGCCGAGGTCCCATGTAACAGGAGTTAGCTTATTCCCGGGAGAAGCTAAAGAACGCTATGGCCGATCGAAGGCAAGGTTGATCAGATTATAGGTATCGTTTGCGGTTGTCTTGTGTGTGATCATTGCTGGATCCAAGTGGGCCGCTCTGCGTTCAGTATGCCATTGTAGGCGGATGCTTCCACACTTGTCCGTGCTTGGTCACCTCCTGCTCGCCCTCACACACGACATCTGTTGCGAGCGCAAACCGAAGCGACGTCGGCGTTTTCGGACAAAAGGGCGCCGAGCCAGGGGTGCGGCGACCTCTCCTGCCCCGAACCAGCACGCGGGCCTGCTTTGCGACCTGAGCCTGCGTGACGAGTCTTGGATCGTGCACTCCCAGACGTCAGAAGGTGACTGAGCATGATATGCTCCCTTGCCGGAGTCGAAGGAATCTGCTCCCCCTAGTGACGGCGAACGGTGCCTTTCTTGTCGAATGCGACGGCATCGCGACACGGCCTGTGGAATCCTGGCATCCAGAGGTCCGACAGACTGGGGATTCGGACCACTTCGACCCTCACTGGGCGAGTTCCACTACTCGCGAAGTGCTTATTCGCAAACGTCCACAAATAGTGTGTTCCTCGATGCAACGTACCGTAAATCACCCTGCGGCGGATCCAGGCCATCTGCGAGTAGCTACTTTGCGAGGAGTGGAACGCGCTTGTCCAGACCCGGAGCCTCCTCAGGCCGTTCCCGACCACCCCGGAGCGGCCGTGGCACCCCAAGCTCCTCTGGAGCCGGCGGCTCCCAGAGATGCCAGAGTTGCAGTCAGTCAAAATTTTGGGATAAGGTCCGCTCTGAATTCGAGAGCGGCTCGCTGCTCCTCAGGTCTTTCCGCAGGTGTTCCCCTGCCGCTGATCGTGCACCGTGGCCCCAACATGGGGCTTCAAGTTCCCCTCCAAGGTTCCCCACGGCGATGCGCTCGAGCTCGACTTGTTCGCACAGTCAACCCGCATTGAAAGGATGGGCAACCTTCCCACGGGTCCCCGTGCATCCCTGCCTTCTCGGTCCATCCTTGGCCACTTGCGTTGACCGCGCCGCTCGAAAAATTCTCGAAACGGGCGCCGGAGGCCCCTGCATCCTCATCGCGCACCCTCATCGTACGGGCCGACGGACTCCTGGCTTCCCTTTGCTCCTGTGCCCGCGGCGCTGCGCGGAGCAGCACCCACACCCGAGCACGCTATGTCGGGGGAGGACAGAACCCCCAACAGTGACACGTCGATTAGTGAATTGCCCGTTTCCGGTTCTCGAGAGGGCGCCGTGGCCGTTATTTTCCAGGCTTTCGCCCGCCAGGTTTGGGCCTCGGGTCGTTTTCACTAAACCACGTTTTACTAAAGGGGGGTCTGTCCATCCCCGACTATGGCCTTCGTCGCCCTCGGGCAGCCGCTCAGACCCAGGCGCGTCCCCCCAGCCCCTCCCGGCCTGGAGCGCCCAGGGCCTCCCCCCGGGGACCGCGGGGCGATGCTGGCCTAGGCGCGCGGGAGGAGGAGGAGGAGGAGGAGGAGGAGGAGGAGGAGGAGGAGGAGGAGGAGGAGGAGGAGGAGGAGGCGGAGGAGGAGGAAGAGGAGGAGGAGGAGGAGGAGGAGGAGGAGGAGGAGGAGGAGGAGGAGGGTCCGTAGCCATTTTGGTTCAAGTTCAAACCATCGCCCTGTGGCTTGAACTTGTGCGCAGCCGAAGGGCCGGCTCGAATGTTTCCAGGAGGACCCCGACCCACACCTCAGCCGCCCAGGCGTGGCGTGCCGTGCGCATTGCTGTGGGTACTCGCTACCTTGTAGAAGCGAGCAATGAATGGAATGGTGCGCTCCACATGTCCGATGCAGGACGTCTTGCTCTGGCCGCGCAGCTGGAGGCAGCCCCAACCTTCCCGACGCAAGAAGACCCTCGAAAGCGCCATCGTACTGGTGGTGCTGCTGCTGCTGCTGAAGATGAGGGTTATGCGTCTGCAGACGACGGAGAACAGATCGACCTCAAAGCGTACATCGACGCCACGAATAACACCCTCATGGCCTCCATCAGTGCTGTCTAGACCCAGGTCCAAGCGAGTGTGGCAAGCTCCGTTGGTTCCCTGGCCAACACCGTGCAGAGAGGATAATGGCTTCAGTCGAATTCAAGTTATCAGATTACAGGTCCCAGACCGACCAGCGCGTGGACACAATGGGTCAGCAAATCAAAGAGTTGCAGCGACTCGTCGGTGCGTTCGGTTCTGAAGAACCTCCACCACCGCCAGCGAAAGACCGCACCAGCTTCGACATGAAGCCCGACCACGCGATCCTGGTGGCACGTGCTCGAGTTCCTGGCACAAAGATAATTTCAAGTCCGCCCTGGAGGACGTCCCCGCGCACAACAACCTCACCATGGCCGAAGTCTGTTTCGAGAGCAGCGAGCTGGCGGCGAGAATGCAGATTCGGATTCAGGGCAATACCAACTACGCCTCCAGGAAGGTCCGCCAGGTTATCGGGCCCACGCGGGGCGCAGCTGGCGTGCTACAAGACCTCTTTGTTAATTCCGACCAGAGTTTGTGCCATATCAAGCGCGAGCAGTTGGTCGAACAAGGTCGGCGCGCCTGCCAGGAAGTTTATGCAGACAAACGTGTCTTCGTCGACCGCGCCATGGGCGCGGTCTCTGCCGGGTGGAAGCCCATCATTAGCATCGTGCCGATTCCCAACGACGCCCCGCCGACGGTCCAGTGGTGCGCCGCCAACACCAGTGCCGAAGGAATCGGGAAGAACAAGATCACCGACGCCATCGCCAGCATTATGTCGGGACCTGAGCCGGCGCAGTGGTCCTAACATATTTGTTGCGGCTTGGCGCCGCGCCCATCCCTCCCATGGCCATCTCTCCTGTGGGTCCTGGAATGCTCGCGCCCTCTTGCATCGCAAACCTTCCCTCCGTGACCGCGAGCTCCAATGCCTTAAGAAGTTGATTGGGACAGGAACTCTGTTGGGGATTCAAGAGTCTCATGGGGCACCAGCTCAGATAGATAGTATTATATATCGTTTCTACCTTCCGTCCGCGCCTACTATTCTCTTCTTCCTCATCGCCCTCACCCACCCGGCGGCGCCATTACTTTTGCGGCTGATTTTAAGACGGAAAGGGACGGCCCCCAACCGCTGGTCAGATTTGTTGAACTCGCCTGGGGGGGGGGAGCTCTGAATGTTCGGAACGAATATAGCAATGGGGCCAGCATCTACGACTATAACATTCACAAGCTTGGATTATCGTCGGGTGATCGGGACGCGATCTTAGAGGCTATCTCCCTGGCCACCAGCGCCGTCCAGGAGGACCCCGAGAGGGCCTTCATCACCCTAGGGTGCGACTTCAATATTGCCTCGGCACTTCCCATCGTTGCGGAGAAGGACACCCATCACTCTCACCCCACATCAGCATTGGTGACGCTGTCAGCGTCGGTTTTGGAATCGGTTTTTCGGGAAGATGACGGAAATTGAGATGATCGAACCAACGCGTTTCAACGCGGGCAGGGGCATGCTGAGTAGGATTGACAGGCTAGTTGGCTCCGTTTCAGGTTGGCGTCGGATTCAATCGCGCACGGGAGGGGGGGGGGGGGGGCGCGCGGACAGCCTGAGACGCTACGCGACACGCGCATCAGTGATCTCGCGGAGACCTCGTTCATTCTAGCGCCCAGAACAGACGCCGAGCCCGACGAGCGCGCGATCCCGGGCGTCTTTTTCCAGCGGCCAGAGTACAGGGCCAACCTCGGCAAGATTCGGCAGCAAGTGGACCAGCGCCCCCCCCCGCCCCCCTTCTTCGACCCGACCTCCACGAGGCGGCGATGCGAGAAGCAGCGAGACTGACCCGTGATGCGACCGTTCGTCATGAACCTGACGGCCCTCTTACCATATGGATTATCCTCAGAACGATTTCGAGAGCGATTTGGCAGCATCACGCCCCGCTTGCCCGCAGCGTTTTACACGCGCACCCGCTGGGCGCGATGCTTATCCAGATCAGCGGCGATGGGGGTCGAGTGGGGCTTCTGGGTCCGCCTGCCTTCCAGCTCGCCGCCGAGCAGGAGCGCCGCAGATGGTTCGAGCCAGCCGCAGACATTGCCAACCGCCGCCCCCAGGAAACTGAGCAAGGCCCAACCAAGGCCAAGCTTCGCCAACGACTTCGGAGACTTCAGAAGAGAGGGCGCCCATGGGCCCCGCTCGACCGAGAGCTCTGCCCCCAAGGGGCCCGCCCGACTTCCGACCCTGACAGCAACTCCCAGGCTGTTACCTCACCACCAGAGGTACTGGGGCAGCTGGCGATGCACTGGGGTCTTGCTTTTTCAGGCCAAGGCGACCGATGGAGCTGCTGCCCACTACTACCTGGGCCGCTTCGGTTTTGGCGCCGAGCTGAGCGATCTACCTCCTCCATCAGTGCACGGTATCCAGAGATGTCTCCAGAGGATTGGTTCCAGTGCTCCAGGACCCGACATGCCCCCTTACGATGCCTGAAAGAATCCCCCCCCGATGTTGCTGAAGTTTTATCAGAAACGCGTTCCTGGCTGTTGGAGGGCAAGTCGCTGTTAAACACAGTCAATGTACTTCGAGGAGCCGTTCTCGACAAGGGAGAGGAGGGTGGGGGCGCAGTTCAGTTTCCCCGCCACGCTAGCCAAACCCGACCACTCGGACTAAAGAATGCAGAGACCAAGACATTGGCGAAGGTGCGTTGCCGATCTTTCTTTCGTCAACTTCCCCGCCTTGTTCACTAGAGCATGATTTATCAGGATGTCTGGCGCATGGGGAGTATCGGCGGGGACATCGAGGTTCTCTTTGCTATCGGGCATCTGCCAGGGCTGCCCCGCGTCGGGGATGCTGTTCGCGCTTGCTTCACGCCCCTTTCATGTGCCACTTCGGGGCGCCGGCGGAAAGTCCTGGTCTTGGTATTGCGAGGGCTTGTGCAGATGACGCGGATCGTGTTTTGTTTCAGAGTTCAGGTTCAAAGAAGCTGCACACTGTTTTTCAGGCTAGTAAGCGCGTTGCCAATTTAGAGTTCAAAATCAGCAAGTGTGCGTCGGTCCCGTCGGTCGGATCCGCGGTTTGAGCGCGTCTACAGGCGCTGGCTGGGGCCCATCTCCCTGCCTGGGGTGGGTTGAAGATTTATGGTTTCCTCAAGTACCTATGCCTGCAGATTTGCCCTGGTGCTGGACTAGAATCTTGGAGCGGCCCCCTCACCAAGTGGGCCAGCCGCGCTGCCGCCATTGCCGCTGCCGGTGCCCCCTCACCAGTCACGTCAACGCTGCGCGACAGTCGTGCGCCTTCCACGCTGACTTCCCAGCCAGTTTCGCCGAGGTGGCCCGAACAGAGCGCAGACTCTTTGGAGACGATGTTCAATCTGCCCCGCTGCTCTCTTCCACGGGCCGACTGGCTCCACCTGCACGAATGGGGGGATCCGAAGGTGAAGGGCGCCGCACTGATGAACCTTGCCACGCTTGTTCGCGCCCCACTCGCCACACTCAGCATGCGGGCCGAGCGTGCGACCCAGCTGGAGGTGCGTGCCAGAGAGTGCCTCCATATTCCTGGTTGTGTCAAGGGTAAACGTTTTCCCGATGTCTGGGCGAGCCCGCGCCTTGCCAACGAACTCCAAAAAGCAGCCGATGGCTTTCCATCTCACCAGAAGTGGAAGCCGGCTGGCCCAACGGCGGCCCAAGCTGCTGGCGACGCTCTCGGCAACGGTGACAAAGTCCAGCGCGCCGCACTTGCTGCCCTCAACACCCACCTCTTCCCCTCTACCTTGTCGCGTGACTTCTCTGCCCGCCTCCTCCACCTCTCCCCTCGAGCTGGCATTGTCATCAGCGAGATCCCTTGGGGGAGCGTCCAGATGTGCATTCGGCGCGCCCACCCTCGCGGGGCATCAGTTTCCGCAAGACGCTCGCTGGCGCGTGGACAACAGACAGCAGATTCCAAAGGGATCACCATCAGTGCGTCTTTGGGTGTGGTTGTGGGGGCAGTCAGAAACATCACTTCGAATGCCGAGTCATGAATCGGCGCCTGTGCAAAGCCCTGGCCATTTTTTTTTGTTTCTCCCATTGCCCTATGCGCCGACTCGGCCTCGCGTCCCCGAGCCCACATAATTTCAACTACCTCGTCGCCGCCCACCAGCTCTACTGCCTCGCCTACTCTCGTCCGTCCCTCCCGCTGAGCGCTGCCGAATCTGACGCCCTGCCCCCCATTATTTCCTCCTCCATCGCCCCATTGACCCGCGCTGCACTTCAAGCGAGCAGCACGCTGAGTACCAGCCAAACTACTTGTACAATACGGCAAGAGCTCCCTGCGGACTGCAGCAATGCTGCTACCGCTGGCGCCGCCAGACTAGAGGATTGATGAGGACTGATCCATCGGCACGAGCGCAGGAGGAGGGGGAGGAGGAGGTCGGCCGGGAGGGGACGAAGGAGGAGATGGAGGGAACGAGAAATTACGATGATGAAAAGGAGGAGACGAAGGAGGAGGAGGAGGAGGAGGAGGAGACTACGAAGGAGACGAAGCAGGAGCAGGGGAAGGGGAGGAGGAGGAGGAGGTCGGGAACTAAATTGGCCGAGGTTCGACATGAACGCAAGTGGGCAACACCTGAGAACCGGGGCTGTTCCGATGGTCCCGGGAGGGAGGGAGGGCAAGCGGTAGCCTTCCTGTCCCGCCGAAGCGGATTTCACACATGCAAGCCACCACCCAGATCCAGCAGGAGGAGGAGGAGGAGGAGGAAGAGGGAAGGAGGATGATGAGGAGGAGGAGGAAGGAAGGAAGGAAGGAAGGAAGGAAGGAAGGAAGGAAGGAAGGAAGGAAGGAAGGAAGGAAGGAGGGAGGAGGAGGAGGAGGAGGAGGAGGAGGAGGAGGAGGAGGAGGAGGGAGGGAGGAGCAGCAGGAGGAAGAGGAGGAGGAGGAGGAGGAGGAGCAGGCGGAGCAAGCGGAGTGGATGAGGAGGAGGATTTGGAGGAAGGCGGATGGGGCAACTTTGGTCTTGCTTCTGCCGGGCCTCTTGGGCGAGCCCCTTGGATGGCCTTCGCCGGCAGATTCGCCCCGGAAGTCCCAGCTGGGGCGTGGCGCCCCCGCAGAAGAGCCCAGGACATCTCCATGTGCGCTCAGTGGCTTCCCAAGGCCGCCCCAAGACGGCCCCAGATAGCCTCAAGACAGCCTTTGAGGGCGCCAAGATGGCCCCAAGATGGCCCCCGCAAAGCCCCTACAGGCCAAGAAGCTCCCAAGAAGTTTCAAAATGGTCCCCAGGATGTACAAATCAATCCAACAAGTTGATATGAGAACAACAATGTTTGGCCTTTTTGCTTCCCAGGGCCTCTGAGGCTTCAGTGTGGTCCACGAAGGGCCTTGGAGAAGCCCCAGAGAGACCCAAGACCGTCGACTGGGGCCCGCATTGGTGTAAACGGGGGGCCAAATAAACATTTGGGTGACACGACATTTTCCCTGAGAAAGAAACGGGTGCGAGTCCCAGGATAAACAGCTTAATTGAAAAATGAAATGGTTAATGAAGAGGGACCAACCACAAGTATTTTTTAGACGTGATAATTCAACCATACTAACAACAGCTTCATCAGCATCAACAACAACAGAGCAACAAACACAAAAACAACACCACCACCACCACCAACAACAACAACAACCACAACAGCAACAGCGACAACAACAAACGCAGCACCAACACCACAAAAACAAACAGCAGCAGCAACAATTACAATAATCCGTATAAGGCTGCTCGTTCTTATCTGCTTGCGTGCCATTCAACACGTATATCCCAAACCCTCGGTACCCGCCCTCTTCGTCTTCGATCGTAACTCCTTGTTTTTTGTTCTCACCTGCAACGTGTATTTGTGCAGCCTCTAAGGTAGGGGGGGAGAGGACGGATCGAAGGAAGGGACATGGGGGGAGGAGGAGGATGGATCACGAGAGAGAGAGAGAGTAGCAGGAGGGGGGCTAGGAGCAGAAAACACGTGGCAGAACCAGACGGGCAGATCGGGCGGGTAAACCCTGACAGGCAGGTCGGGAAGGCAGGCCCAAGCGGCCAGGTCGAGCAGGCGGGTACGACCAAAAACATGGACTTCTTCCGGGGTCACAGTTGGGGGGTTGGGGGCAGGGCGGCCCGGACTCCTGCCAGGCTCTTCACCTCGGATCCCGAAAACATTGCATTTGGAGTTTCTAGGGCAGTCTCGCAGATTGTTGTTCCCCACACAGCTTGCTGAACGGGGTGCTGCTGTGGTAGAAGCTAATTCCGGCCGTGGGAACGGGGAGAAGACACATCCTCAAAACAATATGGTGGTCCAGCCCGTTTCGCCTGAGACATCCTCACAACTTTTGTTTCTGAGTTGTCCGGGATTGTCCGTTTCGCCTGAGACATTCCATTAACATTTGGGCTCCGGGACGCCGCGCGCCAGATGATCCGGGCCTGTTCGCCTGAGCACGAGATGCCCTGCGAGAGGTGGTTTGGCCCGTTTCGCCTGGGACGTTCTCCCAGTTCTGAGCTCCGAGACGCCGCGCGCGAGGTGGTTCTTGCGCGTTTCGTCTGAGACATCCTCAAAACTCTGCGCTCCAAGCTGCCCCGCGCGAGGTGGTCCAGAGCGTTTCGCCTGAGACATCCTCCTAATTCTGAACTCCAAGACGCCGCGCGCGAGGTGGTGCGGTGCGTTTCGCTTGAGACATTCTTCGAGTCTGCTATCCGAGCTGCCGCGGGAGAGGTGGTCTGGCGCGTTTCGCTTGAGACATCCTCGCATCTTTGAGCTCGGAGATGCCACGCGAGAGGTGGTCTTGCGCGTTTCGCTTGAGATATCCTCGCACCCTTGCG